CTGAAATGCTTATAACACACCGTTTCCAAACGTTTCGCAGTGATGGAGTGAGAACATCTGCCGTAATCTCTGGGGCAGTCTTCAGTGCCTAGGGAGGGATGTCGTCTGGCACTGATGTCTTCTCAGACTTCAGTAGCTTGACTGCGCTCAGGATTTCTTCTTTCGTTGGGGGAGTGGTGTCCATTGGTAGGCAGTTCCGTGCGTGCTGATGGTGATATTTCTGGGCGAGTTGCAGGTGCTGATCGATTCAAGAATCCTGTAAAGTGATCAGCCCATTGTTTGATTTGTTTCTCCTCCTTGGGGATCACGTTGCGTCGAGCATCTTATATTGGTTTCATCATCTGCGTTGATCTCTTCTTGGATAGAGACTTGGTTATTTGATATAATATCCCGTGATCTCATTTGCCTGTGGCTTCTTCTGCTTCAGTTGTCGGCCAATGTGTCGTAGAATTGTCTTTTGTCTTTTATAGCACTCTTCTTCACTTCTTTATTCAGTGCAGTGTACATTGAACTCAGATTCTCCTTCTGTTGTCCATCTTTGCATTGAGTCGTCGTCTCTTTCACCATCCTCCTCTCCTCTCTTCTATTAGCTTCCAGGTATCCGTTGATAGCTATACCTTGTCTTGTCTCTTCCTTCTCCCTAGAACATTTGTACACGTTTCCTTGAATATCGCTTTCAGAGAGTTTCAATGTTCTTCCACGCAGGTTTCCTCCGTGATGCCACGTAGTGTGTCCAACTTTGCTCTGATCTGTGACAAAGGTATCCCGTGTAGTTTTGTCCTTTAGTTTCTGAATGTTTGACTTGAATTGTGGTCTGTTTCTAGTTGTTTTGAAGGATTTCAGCTTCACCTTGAAAGTTCCTAGAACTATATGATGGTCTGAGCCCACATCTACCCCCCTTCTCGACTTTGTGTCCAGCAGACTAGCTGCGTCTCCACTTCCTTGAGCGACATCGAGATGAAGTCTATTTGGTTTGTGGTGTGTCCGTCGGACGAAACCCATGTTGCTAAGTGTATACCTTTTACTTGTACACGCTTCCTCTGATCACCAAATCGTTGAAAGCGCAGAAGTCTGCGAATAATTCTCCATTCTCATTCATTTCTCCGAGAGCCTCTCGACCCATGATGAGTTCTCTTCCTGTATTATCTGCTCCCAGTTTGGCATTCATATCGCCCATGAGGATTTTGATGTCACCATTTGAGATTTTGTCCATTACTGTTTGTGGTTGTCTGTAAAAGTCCTCCGCTTATTAATATTTTACTCACACGCTTATATTATTAATATAAATCACTGTACCTTCTTTGAATTGAAATGACTATCTTCAGTCAACAGTTACCCATTTTCATATAATTTTCTAAAATTCGTAATGTTAATGTTCTGTAGCATTTTCTCCATCATATAAGTTGATGAGTCACTTTGCAATGTATAACGCACACCATATGAAATCGGTCAGGAAAATTTAGCATAACAAGTTCTGCTAACCAGTTGTTTTTCTCAAGACCACTTTACATAACTTTATCACTAATTGTTCCACTACTCATATCACTCTGCTAAATACAACATAACTTAGTTGCTCTAGTACTAGTTATTTTTATACTTCATAACTCTTAAGGGAAACCTAATTTCCTAGTCTTTTGTAGTAACACACTTGTTCATATGTATGATGATAATACTGCTAAGAATGTCCTCTGATATTGTTGTGCCCTGTGACCTAATGGGACACACTTGTCATAAAAGCTGTTAATGTTCAGCATACTGCATGTTTGGAGCGGGGTGAAAGCAATGCAATATTACAACTGCAGTCACTGTAAAAGGTCACAGAGCTCAACGTCAAAAAAGGAGGGAGGGTGGCGCATGCTGATCAGCAGATTTGGTATTGATCACAAATGTGAATCGCTCCTATCTGCAGCATGCAATTTTTGGCAGCTTGAGAATTAAACATGAGATTAGATCCTCAATATAAACAAGGAAATTAACTTCAAAAAAACTTTTAAAAAAATGTGACCGCACAGATGTAAATGACGAAAAATACTGCTTTTGCTCCTAACATCTACAAGCCTGCTGAGTTTCTTGTCAAGATGCTACCCCATAGGCCATATACAAGTTCGTCAGACATCCTACAGGTCACCATATCCAACAGGTTCTAATCCTTCAAGCCACTTCTTTCTGAAATGTCACTTATATACTCCACGATAATCCTTCTATCTAATTACTATTATACTCTGTTTTATCTCAACTCCCCAGGCCTTTAATAAAGCTGAAATTTACCTTTTTTCATTCACACGCTTCTTCTCGTACTTATCTTGTAAATATACTTCCGATAATGTATTATTCATAATTACATTTTAAACCACTTCGCAACCGCCAAGGATTTTCTTCTCTTCCTGAAATAGCGTTCAAGCATGTGGAGGCAAAGCACTCGCTCAAATATATGCTGTTTATCGATTGGCCATGACTATCATCAGGAAATGGAACGAATTTTGGGTTATCGCTCAACTTCAATGGTGAACTTCGTGAAAGATTCCTAAATTAACATTCATAAGAATCTGTTCCGATTGCTTGTACTTTAATTCAAAAATTTGAACTTTTGAAAAAGTGATAATCTATGCTAATTCACAATTGTAATTTGTGACATAATCGATCGTGCCTGTAAAAATGGCATGCATTTCATGTAAACTTATACGTTTATACGAAATATATATATAAATTGCTGATACTGAAAACATTATGAAGTAAACGACTGAACTGCACAATTTCCTGTCTTCTGGGTATTTAGAATATGCCTGTGGATTTCTCACATGGAGGCTCAGTCTGTCTTGTGACATATTCCCTCACAAGAAGCCAGAGCAAACACAGCTGTCCATATAGGACTTGACGTTATTAATGACGAAAAATGCAACAGCTTTCTAAGGGTGTGAACTTTAGTGATCGTAAATCTGTACAAATGTTTTGTCTAATAAAGCGCTCTGTGCCTGGAATCGGTGAATTTTACCAACAACTGTGCGCATTATAATTCTTTCAGCAGATTCTGGAGACATTTTGAAAATTCGCTCTTCCATAAATAGTTGACAATACAGTTGACATGATCAGGATTCTCATTTATTTTACTGTGTCATTACTACCAGTGAAACCAGCTGTTTCAAAAATGTTCAGAGAACGACAGTAGATATGGAACCCAGCTAAAACCCTCCGAGAAAAGGCTATGAAATTTGAGTACATACCATCTTGGCTAACATCGCTTAATAGGAAGTGTGGTCTACTATCTGATAATGAAATATCTAAAGGAATTTATCACCATCAGCAAACAAAACTAGAGAAGACAATCTGACTTTAGTGGTCTTGTAAAGAGATTTCAGATTATGTTATGATTGATGGATCCTTTCCTAACTGATTTATGCCAAAACACCATAGACATCTTGAAAGAAAGAAGTAGGAATTTCGAAAGAAATCAATTTGTACCTATTTTGAGAACTATCTGATGAGGTTGTCAGTTTCATAGAACCGCTCTCCTGAGTGTTGCTGTGTATAGTTTGCAACAATTGTAGTACTGTCACACACTACGAGTTCTGAGTCAGCTGTTAGAAGCATGCAGAGACAACAAACTGAACAGACAAGGATAAAGTCGATAACCTTCGGATGTGATCTCTAATGTACTCCTTTTTTTTCACTTTCGTCTTTTTTCCTGACAGTTACTCGTTTTGGAGATGAGAAGTCAAAACTGACACCCTACTGAGCGAAAATTAAAAGTCTCTGGCCCAACTCTCCTATCACCGGGAATTATTATTATTATTGTTGTTTCCCTTAGTTCCTAGAGGAACATAGGGCTTCGGACTCACGTCCCGACTGCTTTCGGTTCTCCGTCAACGTTCTCACCCTGCTCCACATCTGCCCACCTGCTTTTGTTTCCTCTCCTCATGATCCGGTCTTGCGACTGGCTGGAATACTGGCGAGCTAGTTAACTAGGTGAGGTTACCACTTAGATTGTTGATCCCTATTTGCATTTCACTATAGATATCATCTGCTTAGAATTTTATTCTGTACCTTTTCTAAACATCCACCGACAACCCATTTGTTTTTGCGACTATGGATCTCAAATCACGATGACAAATTGAAAGACCACTAAGTTTAAATCCCTTAGAGATTCTGAATTCGTCGGCCTTAGCAAAAGAACATTGGTAACTTTTATGTTTCCATCTGTCCAGATAAGACCGTGTCTTGCACATATCCCATTGATGCATTCAGCATTAATTGTCATAACTTGGTGATCGGATGTCGCTTACTGTAACTCAACTAGTGAAGAAAGAATACACTTTTGATAGAAAAGGTGTTTAGTTGATTAAAAACTGGGAAGTATAGGAATATTCTGGCACAGCGAAGCAGAATCAAGATTCTAATGTTTTCCGAAACATCCACTGGTCTCAAAACCAAGCCCTGAATTCCAGAAACACAGATGAACGAGGTGATCAAGGGATAAGGGTCATTCAAAGCTCTACCTGTTCCAATGAATTCGACTGATCCCTTACATAGCTCACCGACTAGATATTATATTGGTTTGTTTCATTTAGGGAAGAATTCATGACCAGGAGAGTACCACAGGGTTAAAAAATTCACCTCGAGGTAGGAATCTGAACAAGTAAGCCAGTGAGAACATGAAGTTTGCAGGAATACAAAAAGCAAGGTTGCTGAATTCACAATCACTTAAAGAATATATTGTTATTCATTTTTCAGGATAGTCCTGAGTTCTATGAGTGAGATAGAGCTCTGACTTACTTTTCAGCGATAGGGCTAAATATCTGCTTAGAGTTCGACCTAAACAGGGAGCCATAAGATTGATATAGTTTCGGTAGAAAACAGGGTTCGAAATGGAGCTTTGGGGATAAAAAGATGACAAGTAATATTTTCGGAGAGTTTTAGTGCTATAACAAATTCTTACATCCCGCATTACAGTGTGAGAAACACTACCTAATTTCTTTTCTTTGTTACGTTATTTTAAGTGGGAGATTCATACTTACAAGGCCGCTTGTCTGTATACCGTCTTTAGGCGGCTACTCAAACATTGTCATTGAGGTGTATTTTTAGTTATGAATTCATATAGTCACTTGATGGATTTAACATGTCTGTACTAAGCGACACGTTGCACACTACAAACGGAAGTGAAGAAGCCATGGCTGAAGATGTGTGTCCCCGAAGGCTATCAAGGGTGTCACGTCTAAGGGATATGTTTCAGAATGGGATTGTGAGACCCATTGATGATCCAGAAGATGGATATGGAGTAGAGAGTTCTGCTTTTCCATCTTATGCACGTTCTGAGCCAGAGAGGTTCTCCAGGTTAGTTTTTGGTGTAGTAGATGCTTTTGTCGACTACATGACAAGTTTGAGCGAATAATGGAGTATTATTGCTGTGATTTCAAGTTTTTACCTTATACAGATGTCATACTGGAATCTATCTACCTGTAGTGTGTTTATTTTTATAGGCCTGGCTTTTATTTCTCTCACAAATTAACAAAATATCCATATTACCTCCTGAAACTCCAGGAAACATGAGGCGAATGCCTGTAAGAAGTTTGACTACTTGAAGCAGTGTACATGTACCTATCTGAATAGCTCCTGTCTCTATTATCTATAGAATCGGTTTAGGTTTGAGTGGGTTGCAAGGATGAAATGTCCCAACCAGCGTAATAACCTCCTACCTTGGATTGAGTTCCATTTATCCTGAGTTAACCTCATTAATTTGAAACAAAAACTATATGATGACACTGCAAGATACTCAGGTTTAAAATTCCTCGAAACGTCTTAATACGAAGAAAATAGCAAAGTCTTCATCATGAAGCAGATGCTTCACAATGTTATCTTACCATTGTTTCTGATATGACCAACTAAAAACAAGTGCAAATCCCACTGTTCCATAAATTATATTGGGTTTATAAATCTTATTACAGTAGAGGTTATACGTGTCCTTGATTTTGACCGTGAGTAGAAAACCATTGTTCTAATATCTTAGTGGTTTAATGAAACATAGACTTGTTACTTGACCATTCTTTGTTTTATCCTAACTTTGAAAATAAAGTGATCGAATTGCTTACTTCAACTCATAATTCGCAGTTTCTTACTACGAGATCATGTTACTCAACACCCACTAGGATAGGTAGTGCTACCTGTAGCGGCGTTTGAAACCTTGACCCAGTGGTTGGGAGTTGAGCACATAAACTTATGAACCACAGAACCAGTTTATCCTCACGTCTTTTTCGACAGCATAAAGAAAAGCAGATAATTTCCTGAGTACAATTGAATTTTAGGTAAATAGACAAATACTTTTTCACCATCCTCTCAGTTGTGCTTGTTAGTCTCCAACGCCATATGTTGTGGTGCTGCTAATGAGTTGATGTTTACTAGGATCAGTTCTTTTGCTTGTAGGGAATATAGATTTAGCATCTGGATTTTCATTGAAGTAAATTAGGTGATAGGCTTAAAGCGAATGGCTCTTGAGCTAATTATTTTAAGCATTCATCTTAAACATAAATGGATGATTCTGTTACCGCAACTTTGTTTCTTTCTTTCTTAGTCGTGAAGAATAAACAAATTTGTTTCTCTATCTCCCTTCTAAATGCTACTGCTGTTTATTGATTTAGGAATAAACATGGTATAATTGCTTCATTCTCGAAAAGTAATATGTCAAACCATGTCATAGAAATAAGTCTTTTAATTGACTTATTTTACTAATGTGACACTTGATGCTAATGAATGTATCTCGCAGATGCATCCACTCCTTGTGACTTATGATTTCCGATGAAACTGTTTTGTTCTTCGCTGTTACTAATCCTTTGTCTCACACCTCTGTTTACTGTCTATATTATGCATTTCTTCTACTTCCTTCTCTTGCTTTGCGTGCTACATAGATTGTGGCGACTTGAACTGCCGCACATATGTGCAAAGTTCTATGTCGAAAAAAGACAGACAGATAGACTTTCCTATTTGATGCCATCCCAAGTGATTACAACTGAGTTTTACCAAAATACTTGGTATTTGTTGTGCCAACGTTTTCTCTCTGTCACCGGATGCTGTGTAAGTTACCACTGGACTATCAGTGTGATTTATCCACTTTTCTAATCACCATTCAGACCAAAAATCAATGGTCACGGTATAAGCCTCATACTGTCTGCTAGTGAATCTTCTGTATATGTACTTCGCACTAAATGCATTGAAGAATTTCTGAGGTTATTCACAATGATATTTATAGATAATTGACTTACTCCTTACTATCTGCTTCTATTCAGGGCATTCCCAGGATCTCCACCCATGAGAACTCTGCGCCATCATCGATCAAGTTTGACTAAGGATGAATCTACACAACAAAGGTAAGCTGTATTGTGCTGTGTATATAAGTTCTGACGATTCTGTATAACAGCTTTAAGTAACAACTGTTTACTTACCTGCCTTACACTGCTGAATGCAGTCGCTAAGTAGTATACATTGTTTCTACCAGTGTTATACAGTAATATTTACTGATGACGTTTCGAGCACAATTTATTGCTCATAATCATATCAAGGTAATCACACGACTTCCTAAATTCATTTATATAGTTCCATTATTTTTCACTTGATTTCCACTTGATTTGATTGGTAGTGTTATTTTCCATATTTCGGGTATTAGTGATGATTCATTCCTATTGCACGTGTTGGGTGTAGATTCGATGAACAAAGATTCAGTAATCAACCTCTCTCTCCACCTACCTAGATTACTTTTTAGAATTTTAACCCTCTCCCACCCTATTGTGTGGTTGTGTGTTAATGCATGCATTGCAATTGCCGAGCTTTTTTCTAAATTACTTATCTTTTCTGGGTCAACCATTCTTATCTTAGCTAAATTCTTATGTTCTGACAATCTGACTATTCCTGACCTACTAGTTTGACCTATGTAGTTGACCTCACAGTCATTGCAGGGTATTTTGTAAATTATATTATTTTGTCTAATTGGGTCCACTGGGTCCTTTAACCTACAGAGCTTGTCCCTGAGTGAGTTTGTAGGTTTAAATGCCACCCTAATTCCTGCTTTATTTAGAATCCTACGTAGGGTCTCAGATGTCCCCTCTTTATATGGTATAACTGTCGATGACTTATATTCTCTCTTATTTATGTTATCATTACTAGTTCCACAATTATTTTTATTTTTATTTTGTTTCTGGCCTTTAGTTATCTTCCTAATGAATTTTAAAGGATAATTATTCAACACCAACGCTTCTTCTATCTGTTTTATCTCGTCGTTTAGGTCTTTTTTTGTGCTACTTAGTGCTATGGCTCGGTTTGTTAGACACTTAACTAAGCCTGCCTTAACAGTTAACGGATGCGACGAATTAAAATCTAAATATCTATTAGAATGCGTTGGTTTTCTATACACACTAGTGTGAAGTTTACCTTCTTCTATTCGTTTTATTTTACAATCTAGCATAGCCAACTCTCCTTGTTCATCTTCCGATTCAAATGTGAATTTTATCCCCTCTACTAGTGAGTTAATATGTGTCAAGAAGCTAGAGATATGTTCTGTTTTTAACACTGTGAAAGTGTCATCCACATATCTCCACCATATTTTTGGAGTAGGATTAAACGTATTAAGTGCCATATTTTCCCAGCTATCCATAAATATATCTGCTACGATAGGGGATATTGGTGATCCCATTGCTACACCTTCAGTTTGTCTATATATTTTGCCTTGGAATCTAAAGATAGTAGATGTGAGGCATAGCTGAACCCCTAAAATAATTTCTTCAATGGACAGCTTTGTCCTATGATTGAGTTCAGTATCCGCAGTTAGTTCTTTTTTAACTGCTTCTAAGGCCATATTGACTGGTATATTAGTATAAAGACTGGTTATATCAAAACTAACCATTGTTTCATCATTATCTAGTTGTATGTCATTTAGTTTATTTTTCATTTCATATGAATTAGTTAGTCTAGAATTTGAACGATTTCTAATGGGACATAATATTAGAGCTAAATGTTTTGATAATTCATATGTAGGGGTATTTCTAAAATCTACTATTGGTCTTATGGGATAACCTGGCTTATGTATTTTAATAGTACCATACATCCTACTAGCATTATTAGTTTTAGGCATTAAATTAAACCATTTTGACTCACCCAGTGACGGCTTCATTCTGCGTACTAATTCCGCTGTGGATTTTTTAACCTTATTCATTATTGTGTCTACGGGCTTCTTAATTTCCTCATATGGACCCATTTCAATATGTTCATTGACTTTCTTGATGTAGTCAGATTTATCCAAAACTACGGTGGCGTTTCCTTTGTCAGCTTTTGCGATGACAATATTTTTATCCTGTTTTAGATTAATTAAAGCTTCTCTTTCCGACTTTGTCAAGTTTGATTTTGCCTTCTTTTGATTTTTTAGGGTTAATGCACATTGTGCTCGAACCTCTTCTGCTGTTGTTTTATCTATTGAACCTAGTGCTACTTCTATGTTAGGAATGACATCCTCTGGTTTTAATTTATTAACTGTTACGTTGAAATTTAGTCCTTTCTCCAGTACTTTTATCTCACTGGAGCTTAGTTCCCTTGATGAGAGGTTGATCACCCACCCAATCATAGGACAAAGCTGTCCATTGAAGAAATTATTTTAGGGGTTCAGCTATGCCTCACATCTACTATCTTTAGATTCCAAGGCAAAATATATAGACAAACTGAAGGTGTAGCAATGGGATCACCAATATCCCCTATCGTAGCAGATATATTTATGGATAGCTGGGAAAATATGGCACTTAATACGTTTAATCCTACTCCAAAAATATGGTGGAGATATGTGGATGACACTTTCACAGTGTTAAAAACAGAACATATCTCTAGCTTCTTGACACATATTAACTCACTAGTAGAGGGGATAAAATTCACATTTGAATCGGAAGATGAACAAGGAGAGTTGGCTATGCTAGATTGTAAAATAAAACGAATAGAAGAAGGTAAACTTCACACTAGTGTGTATAGAAAACCAACGCATTCTAATAGATATTTAGATTTTAATTCGTCGCATCCGTTAACTGTTAAGGCAGGCTTAGTTAAGTGTCTAACAAACCGAGCCATAGCACTAAGTAGCACAAAAAAAGACCTAAACGACGAGATAAAACAGATAGAAGAAGCGTTGGTGTTGAATAATTATCCTTTAAAATTCATTAGGAAGATAACTAAAGGCCAGAAACAAAATAAAAATAAAAATAATTGTGGAACTAGTAATGATAACATAAATAAGAGAGAATATAAGTCATCGACAGTTATACCATATAAAGAGGGGACATCTGAGACCCTACGTAGGATTCTAAATAAAGCAGGAATTAGGGTGGCATTTAAACCTACAAACTCACTCAGGGACAAGCTCTGTAGGTTAAAGGACCCAGTGGACCCAATTAGACAAAATAATATAATTTACAAAATACCCTGCAATGACTGTGAGGTCAACTACATAGGTCAAACTAGTAGGTCAGGAATAGTCAGATTGTCAGAACATAAGAATTTAGCTAAGATAAGAATGGTTGACCCAGAAAAGATAAGTAATTTAGAAAAAAGCTCGGCAATTGCAATGCATGCATTAACACACAACCACACAATAGGGTGGGAGAGGGTTAAAATTCTAAAAAGTAATCTAGGTAGGTGGAGAGAGAGGTTGATTACTGAATCTTTGTTCATCGAATCTACACCCAACACGTGCAATAGGAATGAATCATCACTAATACCCGAAATATGGAAAATAACACTACCAATCAAATCAAGTGGAAATCAAGTGAAAAATAATGGAACTATATAAATGAATTTAGGAAGTCGTGTGATTACCTTGATATGATTATGAGCAATAAATTGTGCTCGAAACGTCATCAGTAAATATTACTGTATAACACTGTGAGACTCTATCAAAATAAAATTTACCCATAGTGGAATTACACTCTACCACAGTGCCCAAGTTTTATTCTTATACATTGTTTCTAGTGCGATTTCTGAGTTCGTAAATCATTATAAATGTGATTACTTCAATAAGCTTGATTTCTTAACTTGACCCTGTCTGATAACTAAGCATCTATCTTATAGTCATTATTTTGGCATTACGCACTATTATTTGCTTACATGTTTGACACACTTTAAGTCTTTAGGATTGGTACACAACATAAGCAGAATTGCTTTGTCAGTAAGTCGCTGAATGTTATATGTTTAGTCAAACTTTAATCAAAAATGTGTTGTCTAGTAACTGCAAAAATATACAACACCGTAGTGTAAATTACCGCTGTATGAGTAAATAAATAATAAGAAACTAAATACAGTTGTTTCGGTAAAATCTCTAACTGTCCAATTGACAATAAACTGGCAGATAATATTGTTATCGATTTCATTTGCGTAACTTTATCATGCCGTTTTAATTGATTTATCAGTTTGCTACATTTTATGAGAACCAATGTCTTCTAAACTTCATTCGTTTGAATAATGTGATTATTTTTTTTTTTTTTACTTCGGCTATCTCCTACGGGAGGATGAGCCGGCTTCATGTACATCTTGAATCCGTTTGTAAGATAGTTCATGAAGTTTCATGGGAATTTGGTACGAGTGATGTCCCCAGAATCGCTCGGCCTTTTGTTTGAGAGTGCAGCTCTAGCCTTTACACAACCAAGTGTGACCTACAAGGCAGTAGGAGTGGAGTAGGGAGTCCACTATCCATTGGCAGCCGGTGACCGGAGTTCGGTTCATACGCCTTTTTGAATTGGGCCAGACATCCAGGACATCCAACAAGCCCTTTGTCCATACGTCTGCCGGTGAGCTCCAGTGAGCTTCATACGCCAGTCGTTGGAGGTTTGGAATCAGGGTTTAGCCACCTCCCCTAGACTGTCATCCAATGGACAGTCAACCCGGTGAAGAGCGCCGGGCATCCGCTTTCGCCCTCTCACTTTGGTGAAAGACACCTCCGCCACGTGAAGGCAGTGAGTAGGACTTCCTCAGGAGAGGCTATGTAAGACGCCTGGTCATATGGGAGCATTTCAAGAGGTGTGCGGAGGGGTGGCCAACCCGCAGCGCAAGGCACCCACCCCCGACCATCCTGAGGCTTTGGAGGCGATGTGATTATTTAAATGACTCTGGCTTCGTTGGGTATAGCGAAGTGATTTAATAAAAGCAATCTAGGTTATTATCAATATCTATCCATACCCAAATGTAGTTATTCACACGACTTCAACTGACCAGGGTGGTGAGTCTATAAAATTCAACTTATAAGTGTTGGGAATCTCTAATGTGGCGATAGCATTGAGAACTTGGGCAGAAAGTCGCCACTTCATTGGAATACAGTCAACAGTTGCACGAATGCTTTCCGGCTGAACGGATCAATGAGAATCGTGATACTCGTTGATGTCTTTTCATAATCTCCTCTTACGCCGAATCGACTGCAGTTTAGACGAAATAAAGAATGAATTCTATGAAAAGTTGTCTAGTTTGCTGCTAAAAGCAAAACGCTCAGATATAGTTATTTTAACAGCTAATTTCAATGCTCGTCCAGGGGAGCTGGCCCAGTTAGGAAAGTATATTAGTGATCCCTATGAAATTCCATGCCGACGAACCGACAACAGTGAATATCTTTTACAATTCTGTCCAGGTCATCATTTACTTCTGGTTAGCACCAATTTCGAACATAGGCAGATTTTGCCTAACCTGACGACCTTCATCAAATCAAAGATGAACACAAATAGATTACGTTACTATAAGCTATAGGTGGATTGACTTGTTATCACGGTACAATCTTGTTGATTTATAGTGTGCAAATGATATAGTACTTCTAGGTGAAGATGCTGACGAAATGCGCCGGTCCCAATGGACTGATTGCTAATGAAATCTCAGCACAGATAAAAAAGGTTTATATGAAATTTTTTCAACATATGCTATCTCTGGAGTAGACGTAGTATCCGGTTGAAAGGACGTGTATACAGCACAGAAGTTCTCCCTGTCCTTTACGGCTGTTGCAAGTGAAGAGGCTACCTGTCTCTGGCTGTAGATCCTTGTGTTCTGTCTTCAATGTTAAGTTGTGTAATAATGTTGAGTAATATTGAGGTAAGGCGTAGAGTGTACGGTGAGAAGTTCATCGATGAAGTTGCATCGATTGGAATGGCTGAGACATCAGACCAATCTTAGTTGAAATAGGATTAGATTCGAAAAGAATCTGAATCAAAACCTATCATCAGTTCAAGAAGTCTTTGACTGTTTCTTCTGAGCTACGTAAATATGTGTTGACTGCCTGGTTGGGGTCCTGGATACTCGATGAACCAATGGCTGGAGACTATCGGTGATATGGCTCAAAGCGTTCTCAATGAGTCAGATGGATTCACTGTTCATGAGCTCTTGAACCCATAAGATTCCCACTTTTCCCCACATGATTATTCTGTCGGTTATACATTCACGTTTACTGTAGCTTTTTGGCATCTTTTCTCTGCTTTTGTATACTTTTATGACGTAGCAACTTGAACTGATTTACTTTTCTGCAAAGTTCTGAGTTGAAAATTCAGTTATGTTTAGTTCATCATTATCTTTGCAAATATAGAATTGGTAAATCTTGCATTTAAACCAAACGTGGTGTTTTTGGTTCTAATCAAAATAACACAAAGTTGAAATTGTTATATAACCACATTGGTATAAAATAAATCTACATACACTGACTTTTAGTTTCAGTTGTTTCGGATACGGTAGATTGCCCACTTGTAGTCTTCAAATTGTACCATGTTGAGATAGTCCGAAATCGTTTTCGATATCTGAAAGGCATTTAATCTTTATCATCTCGGAAATTATGAGCATTTTCCCTCACACTTTAATCATTTTTCTCCTCTAACAGTCTCCGGTTGTAACTTTTTTTTATCCTTTTGTTTGTTGTTTTGAAGTGATGCCTACTTGCGTCAATTTTTCCATGAGTCCGTATGTCTAATTAACCAAATACTTCCACCACAGGTAATGTCCAACATTTTAATCCCCTCCAGTGATGAGTTATATAGGTGGTAGAGTGGGGAATAAGTGAAAGTAACATCTTGGTAATAAGGAAAACCACTTGGTGGGGCCTTGTCTCCCTTCACGATACTTAATACTGTATTATTCTTTGGTTTTGTTTTGCAGCTTCCACTACTTCTCTGTTATTTTCATGTGTGTTTAGCTTATCTGCTTACAATATTAGGTTTTGAGCAGCCTAAGGTTTGAATCACACTCCATCTATGTTGGCATGGAAAACTGGGTGGTAATTTAAGTGTAAAACATAACACAGTACATAAATATGTTCCAAACCTCTAAGTTATATTATTTCTGTGCTTACGTAAAAATAAAGCAGCGCGATGCAAAGGAGTAATGACTACCGTAATATTTCTTATGGCTAACAAATACATTGTCAAAATTATAATTGAATAATTATGTTATTAAGATATCCATAGCGTAAATTTGTTTTATTTTTCAGCATTTCTTCATCCAGATCACTTGATACAGCACTCTCTTCATCTGAGCCTCACTCTCTTCTCCAGTCACCGCCTAAAAGACCTCCCAAGCCTCGCCATTTGTCGTTGACCAAGCCTTCAACTCCTGAAGCAGTAAGCAATATATATATATATATATATATATATATATATATATATTGTAGTATTTTGATATTTCTAGATTTGTGGGTTTACAACAGTATTCATCCTATACAGTTTTGGCTTGCGTACATTACTCATGCTTTCGATCTAGTGGAGTATTTCGTTTCCATTTTCTGCCAGTTATTCATGAATTCCTGAAGGAAATAACGTTAAGGATTGCTGAACTTCATTTAGCCTCATTGTTCGTTTACATAATCATTCATTCACCTAGAGTAAATTTTTGTAGTCTATGATGCATATAAGTCTCTTACCGGTTAATATTAATAGTGACATACTTTCCGAAGACATACTACTGATCGTATTCGGCCGAGTTTGTACATATAAATCGATTACCATGCGTCTGAATGTTCTATAGGGAAAACTTCTCTAATTACAGCTTTCAACAGAATTTGTTTTTAAATACTGCTATCCTCCTATAGTCATCTGCATATTTAGCGTATGAAGTTGTTGAATTTAAAATAAAACTTAAAAGACTCCACTTAGTGAAAATTAGTACTATTTCATGGGAACAGCTTGTTTTCTGACAGAGTTATTGTATGAGTGGTTAAATATAATTAAAAAATGAATAACCTCATGTTCTATGTGGCTTCTTACTTCATACAATGCAGAAATATTAACTTCGTTTGTTGTGTTACTTATAAATTAACTTATCCCCTATTGTGTTTTTTCAAAGGTTAAGCTAAGACCAGTTGCCTCAAAAATGTCCAGTGCAAATAATTCCCATATTGAAACTTCAGAACTGGTAAAAAATCACAAGTATGTTAGTCAATTTGCTTTTTATTTTTATTCATTTTACGGTCACCTAGTGGGGAGTAATGTTCCTGATTAATCCTTTTTATTGTGAACATTAAATATGCTATGCTTAGTCAGTATTATTATTATTATTGTTCCCTTGGGTTCCTAGTGGAACATAGGGCTTCAACTGCACGCCTCCACTTGCTTCTGTCTTGTGCTGTACTTTTCACTTGCATCCATGCTAGTCCATGCTGTTTCAACTCCTCTTCACACGATCTCCTCCATGTCACCCTTGGACGTCCCACTCTCCGCTTCCCTTTCGGGTTCCACTCGAGGGCCTGACGCGCGATGTCACCCAACGGCCTCCTCAGCGAGTGTCCAATCCATCTCCACTTCCTCCTGCATATTTGTTGGGCGATTGGTTCTTGTTTCGTTTGTTCCCATAGTTTCTTGTTAGTGATTCTTTCCGGCCATCTGATCTTGAGTATAGAACGAAGTCTGCAACCTGTTGGAAATATTCTTGGTGACCCGCCAAGTTTCTGATCCGTATAGAAGAACTGACTTGACGTTTGTATTGAAAATCCGAATTTTGTTGTTGATGCTGAGAGACGAAGATTTCCAGATTGGTTTCAGGTTAATGAATGTGTTTCTCGCCTTCCCGATTCTCGATTTGACATCCTCGTCCGTTCCTCCTGTAGTTGAGACAATGCTCCCTAGATAAGTGAAAGAAGTAACCTCTTTCAAATCCCTCCCGTTGGTGGTGATTGGCGCTGGATGTTGCTGCCACTGTTGTTGTTGTTGTTGGCTGGTTATTTTCATAACCTCCGTCTTGTCTATGTTCACCTACAGTCCTGTCTGCTGCTTCTTCGCCCAGTTTGTCGGTTTTCGCTTGTAAGTCTTCGATTTTGTGTGACATCAAACATAAATCATCCACGCGCGAAATCCAGGTCTTCTAGGTTCTTCACGTCGGTCCAGGATATCCCTGTCTTCTCGTTCCCCACTGTCTGACGCATAATCCAGTCCACCACAATTAGGAATATCATTGGTGATAATAAGCACCCTTGTCTGACTCCTGTGTTTACTCCAAAAGCCTCGCTGAGTTTTCCGTTGTGGATCACTTGACATGTGCCGTTGTTTTACAGCTGTTGAATAAGGTTGATGAATATTTGGGGTACGCCGTAGTACTTGAGTAGTTTCCAAATTACTTCGCGGTCAACGCTGTCGAAGGCCTTCTCAAAGTGTATAAAGTTGAGGTAGAGGTTTGATTGCCATTCCATACTTTTTTCGATGATGATGCGTAGAGTTGCAATTTGGTCAGAACATGATTTGCCTTTCCTGAATCCAGCTTGCTCTGGTCGGAGTTCTGTATCCAGTGCGTCCTTTATTCTCTTCAGGATGATGCGATTCAGGATTTTACTTGGCGTCGACAGGAGCATGATTCCTCGCCAGTTCTTGCAGAGTCCCAGGTCGCCCTTCTTTGGTAGTTTCACCAGGTAACCTTTCCTCCAGTCAGTAGGCACCTTTCCCTCTTTCCAGATCTTTTGCAATAATGGAGTCAGCATATCTTCTGTCGTCTCTGGGTCCGCTTTCAGTGCTTCAGGGGGTATTCCATCTGGTCCAGCTGCTTTTCCAGCTTTCAGAAGCTTGATTGCATTCATGACTTCAGTTTTCCTTGGAGGATTGGTGTCAACTTGCAGTTGTGTACGTGCTGTTGTTGGTATTACTGGACGGGTTGTAGGTGGTGGTCGGTTCAAGAGTCCTTTGAAGTGGTCCGCCCATTGTTTAATCTGTCTTTCTTCTTTGGTAATTGGGTTCCCTTGGCTGTCTTTTATAGGTTTCACTTGTGTTGATCTCTTCCCGGATAGAGACTTGGTTATCTGATATAGTGTCCTCAGGTCCCTTTTGCCTGCTGCCTTCTCAGCTTCAGTAGCCAGGTTGTCGTAGAATTGTCTTTTGTCCTTCCTGGCACTCTTCTTCACTTCTTTGTCCAGTGCTGTGTAAGTTGAGTTCAGCGTCTCTTTCTCTTGTCCATCTTTGCATTGGATCATTTTCTCTTTCACCATTCTCCTCTCCTCTATTAGCTCCCAAGTGTCCGTTGAGAGCCATTCTTTGTCTTGTTTCTTCTTTCTTCCTAAAACCGTTGAGCACGTTTCGTTGAAAATTACCTTCAGAGAGTTCCAATGGTCTTCCACGGATGATTCCTCAGTGGTGCCACGTAGTGTTTCCTGCTTTGCTCTGACAGTTGCAGTGAAAGTGTCCTTTGTGGTTGTGTCTTTCAGTTTTTGCGTGTTGAACTTGCATTGTGGCCTATCCCCAGGTATCCTCGAGGCTTTCAGCTTCACCTTGAAAGTCCCTTGTACTAGATAGTGGTCTGAACCCACATCTGCTCCTCTCCTCGACCTTGTGGTTAGGCATCCGCAGCACGTGACCTAGCCATCTCAATCTACGTAACTTTATAGCCTCTTCGATTGATTTTCCCTCTTTGCCCAACACTACGCCTAACGTCAACATTACTTACCTTACTATACCACCTAACGCGAGAAAGAGATCGTAAACATCTGTGGTCAAAAACAGACAATCTCTTCATGTCTTCCGCTCTCAATGGCCACGTCTCTGCGCCATAGAGAAGGACGGAGCGAACTGCTGAGCAGTACACACGTCCCTTGGTTGACAGCCGGATGTCACGCCTACGCCAGAGACGGTGTAAGTTAGCGAAAGCAGCCCGAGCTTTCTGGATCCGTGCTGTGATTTCGTCACCAATCAATCCGTTGGTGCTGATACAACTTCCCAAATAGGTGAAGTGGTCAACATGTTCTATCACTTCACTCCCTATCACTAAGCTAGGAGTTGACGTAGTCCAGTCCTGTAGCAGCATCTTACATTTCACAGGGGCGAATCGCATGCCAAACATACGAAGATTGCTGCTCAAGGTGTTCAGAAGACTCTGCATTTTGTCAGCGTCCTCCCCTAACAGGACTATGTCGTCTAAGTCTAAGTCTATAAGACTATTCCCTGGTAACAAGTCGATTCCTAAGTCGTTAAGTTCAGTTAAGGATACTTCCATTAGCATATCTATGATGAAGTTAAACAGAAAAGGGGAAAGTGGACATCCTTGACGGACACCACTGTTTGTTATCAATTCAGATGACAATTCCCCATAAGCCCTTACACAGCTACGTGAGTTTGAGTGGAGTGCCTTGATTAGTGCAATGTACTTTCTTGGCACTCCCTTCATAGTCAAGCATTGCCATAGTACCTCTCGATCCACGGAGTCGAAGGCCGCCTTCAAGTCAAGAAATATGGCAATTGTTGGACGCCTAAAAGTGTGTCTATGTTCTAGGATCTGTCGGAGGGTGAAGATATGATCTATGCACCCTCTACCTGGCCTAAAGCCCGCTTGATTTTCCCTCGTTTGATTCTCCCGAGTTCGGCTTAGTCTGTTCATGATTACTGAGCCTAGGATTTTAGAGACTAAGTTCGTCAGGCTGATTCCTCTATGATTATCACATGAGGACTTGTCTCCCTTCTTGAATACTGGTATATTAAGTGACTTACCGCAGTCTGATGGAACCGTCTCTGATTCCCAGACGTTACCTAGTACCTTAGTTAAACTATATACTAGTATGTCACCCTCATATTTAAACACCTCCGGAATAATTCCGTCGGGTCCTGCCGCTTTGCCTCGCTTCAAATTACAGATAGCTTTGGTGACCTCACTTACAGACGGCGGGCCAGTGTCTATATCCCATTCGGGTGTGTGCTGGATGGCGGGGAGGCTCAGTGTGGCTGTAGGCAAGTTAAATTGTTCCTCGAAGTGTTCTTTCCAGCGTTCGAGGCGTCTATCCTGAGAGCTAATTAAGGAGCCATTTTTCTCACAAATAGTCTCACTTATGATTTGCCTTCTCCCACCCGTTTCCCTGATGAGTCTAAAGAGTTGCCTAGTGTTGCCTATCGCCGATGCTTTTTCCATCTGTTTCGCCTTTGTCAACCAACACTGTTCACGGTCCTTGCGGAGACTTTTCGTAAGTTTCCTTTTGTGCAGCTTTCGCTCCTCATTGAATTCGGAGCTCGCCGGAATAAGTCTTCTAGCATCTATCAGTTCGGATGAGGCAGTCGAAATCCAATGGTTTTTACTCACCTTTGGATTTACCTTATTCACAGCTTTTACAGCTGTATCTATGGCTGATTGAATATTCTTCCAGGCTTCTTCAGGGTGAGCGCAGCTGTCGGACTCAGATATGTGTTTAGCTAGTTCTTCCTCAAATAGGGACTTAGTTTCCTGATCGAGCTGGGGACGTGATGGGTTTACCGCTAGCTGTTTCCTACGTCCGTTCAGTCGTAAGCACACACGAGCGCGGACCAGTGCGTGATCGGTATCTACACACGTGTTCCAGAAGGAGCGACAATCCCCTACCGACCCACGCCAACGATAGCTTATTGCTATGTGGTCTATTTGTGTCCAGCGTTGGTTTGATGATGGAGGTCGCCAGGTCAAACAGTGTCTCTCCTTGTGTTTGAAGTTAGTGCTTACAAGAAACAAGTGATTATCTGAACAGAACTGTAGGAGACGGTCACCGTTGTCGATTCGCTGGCACGGAATTCCGTATGTGCCACCGACATTCTTCTCAGATTGACACAACTTCCCTACTTGAGCATTAAAGTCACCAGCTAAAACGACTATATCTGAGCGTTTAGCCTTTCGCAGCAAACTAGACAGCTTTTGGTAGAATTCATCCTTCGTTTCATCCGAACTGCAGTCAGTGGGGGGGCGTAGGCGGAGATTACGAAGAGGCATCGGCGAGTAGTGCAGTCCTTTCTCCTTTTCACTGATCCATTCAGACGGACAGCACACATTCGGCTATCTACCGGGATCCAGTCAAGTAATGTCTTTTCTGCTTTTATGTGTTGACAAGCATATGAGGAAGATAAAATTAATACAAGGGCGAAAATAGTAACAGCAAAAGAATTATGACAAAAACGACGCAGAAGCATTGAAGTGAATGAGTTTATCTACAACACATTAAAGTTTATCTTACATTTTCACTGTTGAAACATGTGTTATGCCTATACAGAAGTATTCATCTGAGCCTGCTATGCCAGGGGAATGATGAATAGATAATTTTTTTTAAAACTAGCAGAAAATCAGTAGAACAATACACAACTCCAATCCTTAAAGTATTCGACTATTAGCGAGGGTTATTCGTGAAAATATAAACAAACAAAACTGATGATCGCAAACCAAGTGATTTGAGTCCAATTCCTTTGTACCATTAGAGACAATTGATTCTCTTTTAGATGGTGTTCTGTATAACCTCCGAAAAGATCATCATTTTCATTGTTACCTAACATCTTGATGTACTGATATATAATGTGCGGTAACCCGAAATACTACTTGCTAATTCCCCAACTATTCTGGTACTGCTAGTTTTTCAAACTTGCAGGAAACACTCCCAACTATGTGGATATAGTAGTTGCGAACTTTCAAGATACAAGTTCTCTTTTATTTTAAATAATGTTGTTTGTCTCACCAAGTTAATTTTCTGAATTTAAGATTCGCTTTAATTTATATTTTTAAAAAGAGTATTTTTGAATTAAATGCTTATAAACCCCGGTTTTCATAAATTTAGTTCCATTAATTAGTGTTCTTAAAAATATAATCTCACATGAAACTAAAGGCATCCAAAAATTGGCGATCACTTTACTTTTCAATTGTTGTTTATTTGTTTATCCTCTCTCAAGCTATTCCATCACTTTCACCAGTCATAACACTGACAATCAGTCGTCAACAGTGAAGGCGAACGGCGATATACCGCACTTACATACTGCTCAAAACCCAACAGTGACTATATCCCATATAACTTCTATGAAAGTAAAACCCCATCCAGTTTCCAAAGATCCTGTTGAACATTTATCCCATGCATCTATAACTCCATTATACTTGTGTAACAAGATAGAGAAATCGGCTGAAAATTGCTTAAACACTAAAGATGGTATGTTGTAATACATGCATACTTTTATTATTTTAATGAGTGTTCAAAATGTTTTTTCAAGTTCAAATAGTAGGTCGTAGAAATGCTTAATATCACCTTATATCACTGAAGCCCTATGTTCCTCTAGGAATTAAAGGAAATAATAATAATACCTTATATTAAGTTGGATAAAGTAAATCTGTTTAATTCATATGAACTGTGATCAAGATTTGACCGGATAGTTGCAAAATAATTGAGCGCTGAGTGAGAAGTAGACATTTATAAATTTCGCTGAGATTTTACAAATATAATTTTATAAATCTGTTTAACTTTGTAAAACTTAAAAGGGAGTCGTGATCAGTGGGGTACAGCAGGTCGAAGGTAAGGACAAATATTCGCCCAGGACATTGGCTAGTAGTCGCGCTATTTTGTCAGTTAGCAGAAGTTGGAATTCATGGGCCATTGGATTGGGCCCCATTGGCTTAATGGCCTACGAGCTCACTAGCCTTGTAACCAGAAGGTCCTGGGTTCCGACCCCGGTGGGTGCGTACTGATAAAGAGTCCCAAACTAGGCTGACGAAACAGCTGTCCAGTACTCCCTGCAGGTTTTCCAATGGTTCTCTAACAGATGTCAGCTCATGATGAAATCCTGTAACCAAAAGGGATATATTTTTGACACATTCACCCTTGCATACATATTGGTAATGGTTCATAGCACGATTAAATGATTTCGCAGTTTTATTCTGTGTAATTACCTGAGGTTATCATATATCGGAAAGCGTATTTAGTAAGACTAAAATACTGTTACACATTTTACTCTATGAGTGGTACGCAGCGGTTATATGTTAACTCTGTCTATTTATCGTTATACTTTGTAGGTAACTGTCAGTCAGCTGAAACCAATGAATCACCGAAAGATTCTTATCCACAGTCAACACAACCGTAAGTTATAAAAAACATATTAGCTGTGTACTGTTATTACCTGATTTTAACAGTTGGTGGTTTTTTGATTGTTGTATGTAATTTCATTTCACTGAATGAATACAGCCAAGTTATTTTCTCCTTATTTTTTATTCGAGATAAAAATAAAGGTCTTAATTTTTCAGTCACAGCGCCTTCACTTTTATCCTGTATATATTCGTGCTTTTGCAGGACCTCTAGTCTTAAAGAATGATATAGCTTCACACAACGCGTTAATGCTGTTATTTATAAAAACTAAGCATAGAATTTAAGTTTTTTGAATTTGAATCTTTTAAGAACTATGCGTTGTTTATTTATCCTATAAAATTGACTATTAGATGGTAATCTAGGTACTGTTCTATTATTTCGAAATGCTCGGATTCTATTGATCTAGTCTTATATATCTCTAAATATTCTGTGAATCCATTGTATACATCATAGATAAATCAAGACCTACATTATTGGTTATCAGTACCCCTGGTTCATATATTAAAATTGCCAGCTAGTGTCTGTTTGTCATGAGTTGCCAATATTTTCTAGTTATTGTGTTCATGTGTGTGTACAGCTTAAGATTATATGTAATATTGCTTTTATAATCAACTTCTACTGATATTCTATGGTGTTGACTACTATTCGACTGATCGATCAGTTTTGAAAAAAATCCATAATGGATCGCGACTAATCAGTCAGTATTTTAATCTCGTCACACTTAGCTTTCTGGAATGATGACTTGGTTTCGTATACAAATAATATAATAAACACTTTCTTCACTGATATCATTTCACAGTAGAAAAAGTATTCTTAATGGCTGACCTTATGGCCTTACCATCCTGTTTATTTAGTAATAATAATAATCTGCTTTATTCCAAAAACAGTACTTATAATACAGAATGGAATTCTCAGCGTTTGTCACGATATTGCGTCTAATTGACTCGAAAATACAAATAAGATTAACCACAGGAATTTGTTCACATTTACGTTAGGAATAAAGTCAAAAATGTGCAAACAACAGTAGGTCTGTTTCAAACAGTATTGTCGATACTGTTTGGAAATTTTATCATGTTATGCAGTAATGAATCTAATGTTCTCTTAACATAGCATGGTGAAGGGAAAAACAAAAAATAACAAATGCTACAGAGCTCAAATGATGTTTACACTTATAAGAAAATAAACACAAGAAATGAGAGTATGGTAAATATAAGATGAATAATAACAGTAAAGCTTGGTTTATTACGGTAGGAGAAAGTTGTTTGTTTACTAGTGCAAAAAAGGTTAGTCAGTTCGTGCCTGACACTATTTTCATCACATAAAATACGGGCAGCCAATTACGGTATCGTGGAATTTTTATACTGAGGCGTGCGCGCATAAAGTCTTCTCATGAAATGACTTCTTGTTTTATCTGAGGGAAGACAAGGTGAAAGTGGGTGCTCACAGTCTGACAAAAATCCTTTTATATTTATTTATATTAATAGTGATGGCTTACTCAAAGATCGTAGGCTTACTGTTGTTTTTTACTTACAGATTAGTCATATAAGGTTTTAATTATGTAAAAGATTAATTTTACAGGAAGCCATCCGACTAGATTTGCTGCACCACTGCACCTCAATAATTAAAAAAAAACAAGTTCTGCAGGCAAATTCTTATATCTCTCTCCTTTTAATTTCATTTCTATCCTTAAACCACTGTGCTACAGCGTAGTAAATCTCTCATGATAATCTCAGTTGAATAAAGTGTCCAAGTAATTTTAGGTGCAACTGGTTGTAGATCTACTGAATATACAGTATAAATGACAGATAGTTATTGGCATCGACTTATCTATCTAGCAAGTTGTCCTATTTTATGAATTTATCACAAAATCGAAACAGTTAAAGTTCAGTTCATTTCTAAATATGGTTTTTCATATAATACTCTTATATTTGCGTTTCTTTCTAGGACCTGTTTTAGTTTACCCGATTCATCCACTGATCATCATCTTGGAAATTCCTCGGAAATCCAGGTAATATTTTTTCCATTATTCTTAATAGGTCATTTGGATGTTCATTAGTTTTTTAAAGATATTGATATATTCACTGAGTGGTTCAAAGGTGTGAACTCAGGTCTTAAAACAAGCTTATGCAGTGATGTAGAAGATTCGCAGCTCGGGTGGATGGATGTTTTGGTGTTGTATTGTTCAAGCTAGGTAGTTTAATTGCGAAGGATAATGAAAGCTTTGAAATCAAGCCATCCAGCTCAGAGAACACAGCAGTACCAAAAAGCCCAGCCTCAACTCAATGTTTTTAAAATTCTACTTATCTTACATCCAAAATATATTTTCATTGTAACTTACTTTTAGATAGGTATTACCAATCAGCTTTCAATCATAAAGCAATTGAATATGAATCTTGCTGTTTGCCTGTTAAGGATCTTTGTTAGTGTTAGATTTTTCAAGATATAATTATGTGCTATTGATATCTGTCCTGTATTTATCGAAGGCTTTTAAATGGCATCTTGCTTAGTTGTTTGGCATGTAATAAAAGCACCTTTATTATTTCAATTCATATATTATTGGGCTTAAGTCTTTGCTAGGTGTAAATCATGACCGTCTTTTTTTTGTAACTGACTACTAAACTGAAGTGATGACAAAGTTTCATTTTCACTGTAATTATAGCAGCGTTGTAACACAAATGTCATATGGTAGAAACTCTGTTGTTTCTATTCTAATTTTAATTTCAAAACCTGGTTGGTTTCCTTGTATTCAGTTACTGACACGAAGTGAAGGGAAAAAAGAAACCGACTGTCTGAATTCGCCTGTTTAGATTTAATATCGTTGTACGTTATTCTTCTGCTTAACTGACCACTTGTAAATATATGAATTAATCTGTTGATTGAAAGTTATTTTAGCATATTTACTATCATATTACGTTAAATAGTTTTCTTTTTGTTTTTAATCAGTATCACTGTCCAATTGTAATTGGATCGCAATGCTATAAACAATAAACTAATTTATAGTACTTTGACTACATAAATAAATGGCTTAAAGTTTTTTGTATAGTATATCCTTAAGGTAGAAATAAGTTTTAATTTTATAGAAGTGATGTTTCAGTGTGTGGTCATTATAATTCCAACCAACATGTTTTTATCCTAGAATTGAAATCTGAAAGGTATTCAAAATGTAAAATTCAACAGGTCTAGTAATATTTGTATACCATAATTAAGCAACAGATTCACTTAGTCATTGATGCTGCTAATTTACAGTGGTACTAACCAGTGTGACATTCTCACTTAACCCCCCCCCTATACTTATTAATCCTTGGTTCTCTTGTTTTAGTTTCTATGTTCAGATTATATATTCATTTTCACTTATTCAATACCACTTATATTTTACTTGTTTATCCAAATTTTATGGATTTCTGATGTCAGCTACTAATTTCCAACTTTTTAAAATTTCTTTTCGTAGGATTTCGTTCTTCCACTTGATGCATTTCACATGTCTCCACTGCGTGAAACTGAATGTAAGGATAGTTCAGACAATCTTCCAGTACTACAGCATGCTGAATCTGTTGCAGTAGGTACTCCAGATGATGAGGATGGTGTAGATGACAAGAGTGATAATTATGCTGAACACTGTAATACTGCAAATTCACCAGTAATGATAATCAATGGGTCTCAGTGTACTTCACCTTTTAGTTCAGTGGCTACCCTGCCTATCCCTAAAGGATTGAATGTTGTAGCAGGTAAATTATGCTTGTTCTAAACCTTATGCATTTCATATTTCATAATTACATTCGTGTTTATGCTGTTTGTTTTTTAATTATTCCCTCAAATTTCTTCGTTCAGTTATGTGGACAGTTCGTATATTCGACTAACATACATAAAGTCGCTTTGTTGTATGTCTTAGTAACTTCATGAAAACATGCATATACACTCATGTAACCCAACTACACACATGGCCTGGAATTTGATTTTCAACCGACACATTCCTAGACCTTGCCCAATTTACTTGCCGGTAGTAAGCCTGGAGAAAAAGAAAGGTTTGACTCGAGGTTAGCCACTCCACCCTATAAAAACAACACAATTACCACTGAAACTTCAAAGCTCTCTCCCACTAGAAGCGCAAAAGAATGAAAAAAGAAATTATGAATTCAGTCTTTTATTGTGGTATAGTCGAAAACAGAATCATCGGCAAGCAATTTGAAATAACATCTGAACAGACAAAATAGAAGTGAAGATCGGTGAAGCAGTTTATCTTTTACTCCGACTGATACTTATCATCAGGACATAACCGCCTATTTATTGGGTTTTAGCTTAACTAAGTTTACTGTTGACAGTACAAATTAGTCGAAAATTCAAATTTTTCAATTCTGTTGCTAAGGGTAATTGAACTTCTGATTATTCTAGATTTAAAAATTAAAAAAAATAATAATTTACAATAATCATCCATATAAGAAGTCACTTCATTTTTCTTCCTTTCTTTCTTCGAATATTTAACACTTTTATTACCTTATTAACTAAATGAAACCAGTAATTTAGTAAGTGTTCTAAATATGTTTAAGTGTAAAGATTATGGTTACTTGGTTAAAAAGTGCAGTTATCTATTTGTTTAGAAGGTATACGGTGGAGGAGAAAACAATGCCAGGAATATGGGTTTCTGTATAAAAGAAAATGCCAGATACTGAAACTAGTAATTAGGCCTCTTGATTTATGTTTCCACACATGTTAATTCTTTACCACTTTTTAAATTAAATGGCCACAAATTGTTAATTTGCGATTTTTAGCTCCATTACCAGCCAATATCATCGGCGAGTATTTGTCCTTACACTGGTCACTACTTCCCACTAGAAATCCAGGCAACTTCGTCCTGTAGTCGGTCACTACTCAGTATCGGATTAATTCTCAAGCGTTAGTTTGTAGGGGATTGATTGGTTTCAAGTATGGCCACGTGTTAACATAACTCTCAAAGTAGGGCGTAGTAGCTGTCCGGCACTTCCTTGCTTTCAATGGTTCTCTAACTCATATCAATCCGTAATCAAGCTAGAAATCAGTCAAGTCCCTACAGATGCACATTTGAAAATTAATTCGTAATTATTACTGTTTGTATCTATGGTCTATGGTAAATATGAAGGGAGTAGCGACCCAGACCATATAGTCCAACGAAATGTTCTAAAGCAGTCACTTATTAACTGCATAGAAATGTGAAAATTGCTTATGTATGATAACTGAGATGTGTGCAAACATGTTCCATACATGTCTTCAAGTTTACTATAGGGGTTTCATTCGAAAGGTCACATTTAAGTGTTTTTACGAATTCATCCAGTATTCGAGCCACTGTGGTTGTTTATTTCAAGTTCATTTACCTATCATTAACTTGAATCACTATTTTTTATGTTCACCCAGCCATCATACCATTTAGATGCTCTAAATAATATGCATAGATTGTATGCTACCTCAATTGAATTATTCTGAATTTCACCTGATAATTACAATACTTTTGTATATTATATGAAGTTTTTATTGAATTATTTCATGTTGGTTAATGATAATTTCTTCTTCATGTTGCTTATATTTTACAGTTGATGCCGATGGAGTGCACATTTTCGAAGATGGAAATTTCTTATATGCTCTACCTGGTCTAGCAGAGAAGTATTCAGATGATTCCGATTTTTACGATTCCCGTGAAGATGTTGGTAATGTGACTGATCTTAATCCAGCATACTCTGCTAATGATCAAGATAAGGAAGAACAACGTAAAAATGCAAACTTTGAAAAACTTGTTTCAACTCCTTTGTCTTCCACTTCGTCAAAAGTACAGGCAACAGACAAATTAGTCAGTAAGCGTTCTGGTAGTAGTGACAGCTTAGTTAAACAGCCTAGAGTTCGATTCAGCTCGGAACCTATTTTAGTAAGTTCCTAATAAATTATTTTTACTTCATTACTATGAAGGTGAATCCCTCTCGTTTTATTCCCCTTTTTATAAGTGGGTTAGATAATTAATGTCTTACCCTGAATGATATTCACTAAGAAGATGCGATGGAGGATTTCCACCCTCATATGTGTAATATATTTGTATACTTATTAAGGCCTAGCTTAACTTGAGTGTTCTGTCTAATAATATGAGTTTTTTGTAGTAGTTTTGGTTGCCATAAATGAATGGAAGTCTGAAATGGAAAGCTAACCGAAATTTGCTCAGCATTCATCACCTACCTGACTGGGGTGTAGAGATTGTTTTCATCACAGTAACTGAGGTAGCAAAAACTGTCTAATCTAAAACAGGATAAAACAGCGGCATCCGGTGGTATGGCTCCATAATTGTTTGAAAATGGTAGTGATAAACCATTAATAATAACGATAATAATCACTTTATTTCAAACAATAATAATCATGCAGAATGGAATTTTCAGCATTTTTAATATATATTGCAACAATTTAGCTCCTTTTATAAATGTGCTGATATATAAAATTAAAAAATAATTATAATAAAAGCACAAAAACTGAGGGTTGGAAGAATAATATCATAGATGATACATGTAATAACAATCTTTGCTTATACTTTGCAGTTCAGTTACTGATTTAAAAAGTTTATATGTTCTTTTCTGACTCTTCACACAAAACCCGCACTAAATATGGCAGGGTAAAATTTTTACATTTAGTTGTACAAGCATAAATTCTTATGAAGTTTCTTTTGGTTTCACCTGAAGATATACAAGGAAACAGTTCAGACTAAAGAGGATGTTTGGTATCAGACAAGATAGCCTTAACCAACTGCTTGTAAGAATTGAAGCGCCTATTGACAATAATGTCAGTTAGTTGAGTCAAAGACACCACTAACCCAACTTACAGCCTTCAGTGTTTAACGTAATATGATATAGTCTTTTTTGATAAGTCCAGAGAAGAATAAGGGGGAGAACAATGAATAAGAATGGGCAGAATACATGAATTAATAAATTTTAAGAGAAGACGTTGAGTTATTCCAGAAAGTTTCAACTTCTTTAAGCCAAACGAAAAATTTTCTTAGAAATCAAGAAGATATAAGGCGTCCAGCAGAGATGTGAAGAAAAACTGATGCGGAGAAAAGTTATATTCAATCTACTCCCTATCACAGTATCGTCAATATTACGGGAATCATGCGACTGAATCAGTTCACGAAAGTCTTGTTCGCACCTGATACTAAAATCAACAATACGACATGTAGATGGAGTTAATTTAACACCACTTAGGGGAGTTCACTTGTTAACTTCAGATAAGAATCTTTTCGTATAAGAACAATGCCATGCAGAAACTACTTGGACAGAAATGGTTAAATTGTCGGCGTATGTTAGCTTTGGATGAATACGGAAGGTCATGCAAAAACAAAGATAAAAGTTATGGAAAGAGTACAGTGTCGTGAGGCACACCAGTTTCCCTTTGCGCTTTGCATTCAAAACAGTATGTTTTTTTCTAGCCGAACAATAAGCAGACAGTCACCTTCTGACCCAAGACTCACTGCATGCTGTAGTCAGCTTGCTTGGTAAAAGTGCACTAGGAATAGAGTCAGAAGCAGCAGTATAGTCTAAAAAGAAGACTCGAACAAACTTTGGGCCAGCATCTAAAGTGCTTATACTGCATTTGTAAGCAAACTCCTCTGGGTCATTAAAAGATTTCAAACAAGGTTTAAGAACATGGGAGAGAAGTTTCTCCACAGTTTTCAAAAATAGTGAGGTGATTGTAGGATTATTTTTTGTCCTACAGATTTAGTCCTTCCTCAATACTGACGACACAGAGTCTGGGCTTAACTATAGTTAAAACAGAATGACTTGACTTTAACTTTATCTGTTCCTAAAACATAAAATAATTCATCGATTACACCAAGAAAAATGTACAAATCCACTGTCATTACAAAAATAGGACAAAAACGTACCGAACAGTATTGAGGGTACGGACAAAATGAACATTCAATTAATTACATGTATATACAAGTAGAGTGACAGACAAAAAAGAACATTCAAGGTCACCATCACGTGGTGTAAGTTACATTGATTGGCCAATAATCGCGACAAAAAAGGTCACATAATATTGATTGGCTGTTTATCATACAGTCTATCTATCTACCGCGATTAACAGTGATGGCGATTGACCAAAACTCTAAGCCTGATCCAGAGGATGATTTTGGTACAGGTACCACCTTTATTTCTTCCCAGGCAACAGGTACCTTATGCCTTTAAAATGATTCATTGAAGATTCGTGTAAGAGAATGACACAAAATATCAGCACACTTTTCAAGCAAAATGCTTGGTACACCATTGGGACCCAGGCTGTGTAATGAACTTAAGGATTTGAGACACGTTAATACATCCTTTTCATTGAAACCAAGGAAATGATTTACGTGACTAGAAATATCATGTTCAATCATATTAGCTTGTTGCATTATAAAAGATCGATTCAAGGCATTTACATCAGAATAAGCATCAACTGAAATTTGTTTTTTACTTGTAAGTTGATTAGAAAGTTTCCGGGTGTTTGAAACATTCTTGCATGATAAAAATTATCATTATTTATCCCATTTAGTCTTTGTATTTCAGACTTTAACAGAGGGTTTATTCTTCGAACACCAACATCATCACGTGATTTATACAGATTCTCTGTTTCTATTCTAAACTTTTTTAGTTGTGGAGAAGAGATCCTATATCGTAGACAGAGTTTCAGTAAGATTGCAAATGTCCAAACAAAACTTGAGATAGCAGGTAACTTCTGATATTTCATCAACGAATAGGACCCAGTCAGTGTCACACAACATGCATCTTAGTGCTAGAATATTATCATGTGAATAGGATCGTTCTTGAACTTTCTTTGTTAGGTAAACAAAAAAACCCTTTTGTGTAACTTGCCATACAATTTCGGTTATAGACAAATAATGCAATGGTCAGAATTCGGCAATATAGCCCTACTTCGCACCTCGTAAATGTCATGATCGTTTATGAAAACCAAGTCTAAGGTTTTGTCCAGACGAGTATTGGATTTGACAAGAGTGTCATGACCAAGTGATGTGAGAAAGCTTTGATCGCAAGAATTAAATCCCGCATAGAGTATGGACAAGGAATTTCCAAATATAGGAGTAATAAATTCGTATGCGAAGGTGTAGATATATCAGAGGAATTTCATCCTGGGGTCATATAAACATCTGTTGTGTGTATATAGGAATATTTACTTAAATGCTCTGGACACCACCTAACTGTGATACAGCCTATATTTCCATTGGAAAAATGAAAACCAAGATGATTAGATGTAGACCACTTTGTATTAATAAAAGTGGCTACCCGTCCTCCATGCTTTTTCTTTAAACTATGTCTGTCGTGATGGAAAACTTCATATCCATTTGTAATGAGATTAGATTATCATCATACTGTTGGTGGAGCCAAGTCTCTTGTATAGCTAGAACACCAGCATTTCGACACAAACTTGAGGATATTAAAGATTGGAAATAGTCCACTTTGTTAGGCAGAGATCTTCAGTTAGTATTAATAACCTCAGGGATAGTCATTTAATTAATTAACTTGAAAATCCCCATTCAGTCATATAAAAGAAAAGAAGGCGTTCAGCGAAGAGACTCTTTTCGGCGAATTCATTCACTGAGCTGTACAATCGTATATTTATACAATTTTGTTTGTGTGTGCGTACATTAGATTTATAAAGTTTAGATAATTATGTAATATAAGTATTTTTTGGCTTGGAAACAAACGTTAAGATGGAAAATAAAATAGAATTGATTAAGTGAGTAGAATTCAGATTAGGTCAGGTTGGCAACAGTGTTAATGAGTGGTGTTTAAAATCAAATAAGGGTGGGGTTAGAGAATAATACAGTTGAAAATAAGTAAGTTAATCGGATGACGCAACGCAGTTGACTAGAAATTGGACGTGGGTCAAGTTAGTAACATTGTTAATGAGGGTAGAGATTACAAAAGGGTGGGGTAGAGAATAATATAAGTGAAGATGTGAAATAATAAAATGCAAGAGACAAAATAATACAATTAGTAAGACTGAAATTAAGAAAGATTACGTCCATTGTAGATTTAATGAATGAACGAATTTATTTTGAATGCAGAGTTCAAGATTTAGCAGATGAATTGCCATTGCTTCTGCGATGTGGAGAAGTTTGATCCGTACACTTTTAGCAAGATTGCCTTGTATTCTGTAGATAACTTTGAAGTTTATTTCTGGTTTGACTTGGTGTCCAGAGTCGATCAAATGTTCAAGGATCGAGCTGCGGGGGCATCGGTTTTCTCCTTTATAAAACCATGAAGGTAAATGTTCGTTGACGCGTTTGGATAGCGATTTAATTAATTTCTGGAGGTTTGATGCACGCTTCCAACCAGAGTGATGTTTTTCCTCAACGTGATAGGTTGGAAGAGATCTTAAAAACACACGATTATAAATAATACGATTTGAAGACATTTGTGATTGATTGAAACAAGAATATCGAAGCAAAGTGTAGGCTGATGGAAAATGGTATTTTGTGGTAGCCCGAAATTCAAGCAGGCCGACTGTATAAAACCACCTTAACCAAGATATTAGGTTATATGTGGGAATCTGAAATAGTCCTTCTGGACTGGTTTAAATCAGTAACTGTTCTAGTTTCTAAGTTGGGAGCCAAATCTACTTGTATTAATCACAGAGGAACCAGTCTAACTAACACAGTATCTAAAATTCCAGGTCCAATAGTTATGTGTGAACTAAGCGGTGCATGGGAGGAACAAACCGGTGAGAACCAGATAGGTGTTAGTCTCGGACGGTGCTGTATTGATCGTATATTCACCTGTTGTTCACAGGTTCTAGAACATAGACATAACTGTAGGTGGAGAATGCTTGCCATTTTCTTTGATCTCAAGGCAGAATTTGACTTACTCTGCCGAGAAGTGGTAAGTCGAT